ATTTCTGACAGTAATTTGAATTTTACATGAAGTTTCTAGAACACTGATCGGATGATAGAAACTAGCATCAAAGTATCAAGGCAATTTTCTTTACCACATCCTCAGAAGTCAATAATAGTAACAACAACGTTACTTTGAAATCACATTACTTTGAAATCATTTTAACCAGATGGAAAGGGAATTTAGATAAAATCACCACCAGGACCCCCTCCCTAAAAAACATGTATCCCTAGAAATAAAGTATACTAACCTTGGAGTCCTTCTATTTAACTTATTGATATAAAATGTCAAGCCCAGTTTCCACACAAAGGACAAAACAAACTGCTGGGAGATTCCCTCATTCAGATTGTATACAAAAGAAAGGAAAAAGCTAACCTCACCTCCTTTAACTATCTGTCCCTTAGCTGCCCAGCATCTCCAGATTCAAGGGCAACTCAAAGACTTACCTAAACCAGCTCCACCTTTCTCCTGCAACCGAAAAGCCTTCCATCCCCACCTGTGACAGGTATTGGGGCGTGAGCCCAAATCTATAGAACTGTTGAAAGCCTCTCCCAGATGGATACCACAGAGAATCTATCTTAGATATAATGAGCTAGAAACTTTAACTTTAGCAATTAAAAGTAGTGACCAGCAAGAAGGTCCTTAAAGCATTATTAGTCTACAGAGAACTGAGCAAACACCTTCTATTAGAGAGTAAACTTAATGGAGAATTTCCAGGGATGTGTTAGTCGTAACTACAGTACCCAGTGTGCTATCCCTCCCTCATCTTCTCCCCTCTATCATGTCCCTTTCCATCCTTTACTAGGGCATGAACCCCATTTCTAAACTAATTCACTTCAGTGCTAGAAAGAGTCAACTACTATGGATAAATACCATGTACAACATAAACAGGGTCAAGAATGTCAGCTGCCAGAAGAGTTATGTTTAAATTAGCATTAGCTAGCAAGCCTTTTCCTAAACAAAGCAAAACAAAATGCTTTTTTGGTCATTTCTGTGTCTGGAGAATGATTTTGACTCAAATGCTCAAAAAGTCTCACAAGGTCCAGATAAAGCACAATAGCACCAATTTTTCCTAAATTACCATTTATAAAAATACAGAGAGCTTTATCAATGTGGGGGAACAGGAAAGAAGAAACTGTATGTTCTTTTATTCTGTAGCCTTTCTATAATCTGACTCAGCAGCAGAGCTCCAAAACTCTAGCTCAGAGTAAAGATGGAATATAACAACAAAAGCCCAGTCACCCCTCACTGTGTGTTATTCAGTGTCTTCCTACATTTGGGGGCTAACCAGTATTTCTTCCTCCTCAGATCCCCCCCTGGCATAATCCTCAAAATAACATCCAAGGTGCCCCAGAATCTACCACCTTGTATTTTTCCAGGTTATGTCACCCAGAATTCCAACTACATCTCCATCTTTTAAGAAAAACATCATATTCATCCTTCAAGTATAGTGTATGAAGTCTTCCCCAGAGTCAGAACTGAATTTTCCATTCCCTGGCACACCAAGGTCCTCAGACTCTTCAGTTTCACGGAGGTATGCAGTCTGGCAGCTACAAACTAAACTTGGCTGCCCTCTGCGTTACAGGTCTTTCTAGTGGCTCCATTTTAACATCCTCCGTCTGCTACAATAGAAGGAACTCAGTCAGTGCTTATTGAATTAATAGCCCTCCTTTTATTCCAACTTTCTAAAACATCTATTAATAGCTCTCAATGAGACAGTTAAGTCATAATACCAAAGGGTCTTTTTGGGTTACATGATACGGAAACCAAATAGCAGGATGCTGTGTTATCATGGCCAAAACTGACTTTCAGACTTTAAACCAAGAATATAATTAGGCTCATGTTTTTATAACATCACCCTTCATTTTTAAAATAAGTCTTGTCCCTCAGGTGTATATGCGTACTGATACCAAAAAGAAAACTCAGGCAAACAAAGACAGATCCCACGTCAAGCACAGATTGCACTTTGCCCTCAAACTACATTTTAGCTCTCTTACTTGCTGAGCACTTGAAAATGATACAGCATATTTTATCCAGAGCGCAACTTTCCTTACTAAGCATTTGAAAAAGATTCTTGCCTCTAAGAATCACTAATTTCAGATTGAATATCATGCTGAATCAAAAAGACTTAGCAAATGAGAATTCTGCTTCCTCTAAACTTTCCAGTAGGTCTAACAGGTCAGTAAAACCTTGAAAATTCTAAGCTGTCACTTTTTAATCAACTAACTCACAGGGAAATACCACTTCAAATAAAAATGGGCATTTCAAAATGCAAGTTGTTGACAGGGTGACCACTTACATTTGCCTCTGTGTTGTGTTTCATCCTGCACAGGCACCCAGATCTGCTGAGGCCCACAGCAATGAGCAGCAGCCCCCCAGGACTACAGGCCGGGAATCTGCTCAGGCCAGACTACACGAATCCCCTTGACTTCACCTCAACTAAAGGCTCATCAGACTCACACATCACTTTAAATAATAAAGTGGGTGATGCCAACTGAGGGTGTGGGGGAGGGTGAAGAGGGTAAAGGGAGCAAGTATTATTGATGCCACAGGGCATCAATTGAAAACAGAGGAAAGTAAACTTCCAGTTCAAGGCTTTTCCCCCTCCAGGCTTCTCCCACTGCTAGCTTTCTTCCAACCCTCTCACTTCCTTGTATTCCCTTCTTTATGTTCTAACATGAAATAACCATCCACCCACCAATTCTAGTTATTTTTGGGAACTGGAAGGATCAGCAAAGATCTTTTAACTCCTCCCTTTTCCAGAAGGGAACAGGAGAGGAAGAGGAAGGAGGACAAGCTGACCCGGCTGGCTGAGGTCGCACCACTAGGGGACGCGGTGCGCCAGAGAGATCTGGATTATGACATCCCAACCGCACCCCCCCCCCCAGCTGTGTGCCGTCCACCTACACACTACCTTTTTCTCTTGCTACTTGGTTTCTCCGCCCTCAAATTAAACGGTATCAAGAAAACGCAGCTATAACATATTTACAGTCACAATCTTGGTTTGAGGGCAAATATGCTCATTTCTACCGGGATTTGGAGAAAGAAGGACAGAAATAACTAGATGGTATTCTATCTGTGTGTTTTAATGCCATCTAGTTCAGTTCAAACAGCCAGAACGCCAGTATACACTCTTTTTCCTTCTACTCTACTATCAGACGAGGGATAGTTTCTTACAAGAACTTGGTTTCCCCGTCAAGTTTCCTTTTTCAAGCCACAATAGCCGCATCACAGATCTCGCTTCAGTTATGCTTAAACTTGACAAACTTCACTTATGCAGATAGATGGGAAAAACAGGCTGAGAAAGCCTGAAGGAATGGAGGGTTTTGCTCTAGTAAGTGCAGCTGCTGTCTTTCCGAAAATTCATGTTTGCAAAGATGTCTCACTACCATGGGAAACACGAGTTCATCGTGAAACTTGAACAAGCACACACTGAAAAACCATATTTACGAAAACATCATACATTTCAACAAAAAGGAAAGAAAAAGGAGCAGCAAGGAGCAAACAAACTCAGGCCCCAGAGTAAAGGCAGCAACAGGTCCTGGATGCCATCATTCATACACATTAAAGGCCAATGGCAGCAAGAAAAACAAGAGTAAAGTTTCAATGCATTTACACAAAGTAGTCCTACACAAACCAAAGGAGTGGGTGGATTTCCAAAGCAACTTAAAGCCATGTCCCTCTTGCCTTGGTTTTCCCACTTACTCACTAAGCGTGTTTGTCCAGCTGCTGGGCAGAAACTTAAGTTTAAAGTCCCCATCCCAGGAGAGACTACCGAGTACTGGGTGAGCAGCGCGCGGTGCGGGCGCGGGGCGCAGACCGGAGCAGGGACGCCGGGGTGGTCCACGTCCCCTGGACGCGGCTTAGCGTAGGTTTCGCAGACCCCGGCACGCCTTCCAGTGTCTCCAGCCCGTCCCAGGTGACTGGAGGCCACCTACGTGTCAACTGGGCGGGACCCGGCCGTGGACACAGCGGCCAGCGCGGGCCCCGGGGCACTGACCTGGTTGGGAGACTGGAGGGCCGGTGGCCAGGCAGCAGCGGCAACTTCCCTCCTTCCCTCCTGGGGTTTCGTCCACTGCTTGTGGAGGAGAGGCCAGGGGAGTCTCGCCTCCTGCAGGCGGCTCGCACACGCACGCCCACCCACACCCGGCACTGGCGAGCGCGCGCGCCTGCGCGGGCACACACTCGCCGCACGCACCCTTCGAGGCCGGCCGGCCACCGACAGTGCGGTCTGAGCGCGCCGTTCGGCTGCGAAGGCGACGCCGGGACTACTCGCGCGCGACCCAAGGGCGCCGGCCCCCAGCCCCGCGTCGCGCCAGTCCGTTTACCTGCCCGCAGCCGCCGCG